GGGGGAGGAGGAGGAGGAGCAGGAGGAGGAGGAGCAGGAGGAGGAGGAGGAGGAGGCCCGCCCGCCCTCGCGGGCGCCCCGCGCCGCCCCCGCGTGGGGCGCCTCGCGCCCGCGGCGCCTCGCGCGCGCTCGGCGGCCTCGGCGGCCTCGTCGGCCGCCCGCGGCGCGGGAGGTGTGGAGGGCGGCGGCTCGAAGCAGGCCCGCCGCAGCATGTGGGGGCGTACGGTCCTCAGAGGAGGGCCAGACGAGGCAGGGCTGGAGACAACGGTGGAGGCAACGGTGGAGGCAACGGTGGAGGTCGAGGCAGGCCCGCCGCAGCTGGGGGTGGGGGCCGCGCTTCCTGCCTCGGGGGGCATGCAGTCGGCAGAGGAGGGCCAGAGTAGACAGCGGTAGAGGCCGATTTCTGATTTGACGCGCCTGCTGAGTCTCTTCTTCTCCCGAGGCTCGAGGTCTCGGGGCCGGCCAGGAGGACGGCCGTGGGCCCCTGGTGCGCGCAGCTGCTGAGGGGGCCGGGGAAGAACATAGCTGCCGACGGCGAGGAAGGCGAGGAAGAGGACGACGAGGACGACGAGGACGAAGATCAGAGGCGGGCGAGTCGAGACAACGATAGCTGGCCTTCGCCGTCGCGGGGCCCCCCTCGTCGCCACGGCTGGAAGCAGCTCGGAAAGCTGCTTCGTTTGGACCCGGCTCTGAGCTGTCTCAGCGCGCGCACCTTCCTCCGAGGCCAGGAGCGTCTGCTCTACGTGTCGCGCCGCATGCTTCTGGCCCACCACGCTCCGGCGCGACACGCCAGGCACGCCCTGGCCCACAAGAGTCAGCGTTCCGAGCTTTCCTGGCCGCAGCATGGGTGCAGGTGTGCGGTCAGGAGCGTTGGCTGAGCGTGTCGCTCCGCTGGTTCTGGCCACCACGCTTCGGCGCGACACGCGAATTCTCCACGTCCCTGGTCCCGAGCGTCAACGTCCCGAGCCTTTCCCAGCCTCCCGCCCCGCGGAGCGGGGCGACACGCCGTCCGCTTGCACGGCGTAGCGTGTCGCTGGGGCCGCCGCCGCGACAGGCTGAGCAAAAGCTCCCGACCGCTTGTGGGCGAGGAGGACGAGAAGGTCTGGCGGCCCTCTGCGCCCCCGCCGTGCTGTGGTGGCATCAGCCCAGCTGTGCTGACCTGTGCCAACGAGGTCGTCGTCATCGTCGTCGCCGCTGCCGCCGCCGCCGCCGCCGCCGCCAGCGTCGTCGTCGCTTGCCGTCGTCGTCGTCGTCGTCGTCGTCGTCGCCGTCGTCGTCGTCCTCCTCGTCGTCCTCCTCGTCGTCCTCCTCGTCGCCCTCACCGCGTCGGCGGAGACCCGGGGCAGCCGCGCGGCGCGGCCGGCGCACGCCGCGCGGCTCGAGCAGCGCCACGGCGCGGCGGCGCACGGCGCTCGGCCGGCGCCCCCGCGAGCCCATGGCCCGCGGGCGGGGCGGGCGGGCGGGCCCCCGCGGCGCGGGGCGGGCGCAGGGCGCGGCGGGGCCGCAGCTGGAGCGCGTGGTGGTGGACGAGATCGTGAGGCCTGGCGCGTGGAGCACCGCCGCCGCCGCTGGCGTCGCCGCCGCCGCCGCCATCGTCGTCGTCGTCGTCGTCGTCG